GGGGGCAGGGCACAATGGCTCCAGGATCGCATGTGCCAGGGGGCTGCCCATCCTTGTGCTGCCTCTGGGCTCTGGGCACAGAGCTGTGTGGGTCTAGTTGCAGCAGGGGTCAGGAGGGGGCAGCCTCTCCAGCCTGGAAGCCCTGGCACCGCCGCCCCCCCACAGAGCCTGGTTCTTGGCAGGACGCCCCGTGGGAGTGTGCATCCGGGTCCTGCGCTCTGTGCAGGGCCACAGGCTGCCGGGCTGTTTGCTCAGTGGGCAAGCGGCCCAGCGAGTACATGGCGGGCCAGAGCAGCCTGCCCTTGGTGGGGGTGGGGAGGGGCTGCAGAGATTCCCAGGCATGCCACTGGTGTCCCACACCCAGCCTAGGCCTCAGCCACTCGCCCCGTCCCAGTGCAAAGTCTGGCCCTGCAGAGATACCGCAGGCAGGTGTGATCCCCACGGGGCCAAGGGCACCAGGAAGGGGGAGGGGACATGCCAGATCTGCCCCCTACACTTGGGAGATGATAGCCCAGCTGGGAATGAAGGCACCTTCCAAGGCAGTCGCCCCCCTGCCTGAGATCACTGCCCCCCAAGTGCCCAGTGTGACTCGGTTTTTCCATTCAGCCTGCAGTGCCGGGCGCAGGGCAGACTGAGCTGATCAGATAGCGCAGGTCCACCAGAGCCAAGGACAGGACAACGTGGGGCTGCCAGCAAGCCAGGCCTCGAGACCTGCAGCCTCCCCACGAGCCAGCCAGGAAGCCCAGTGCATGGTGCTGCATGCACCAACAATCCTGGATACCCAGAAAGTGCCCCCAAGACCCCCAGCCCTGGCCTCCTCTCCACCCTCCACTCCTGAGCTTGGTCTGCTTCCCTCAAGTTCAGTGAGGGGATGGGAGGCACAAAGCAGCTCTGGATAACACAGCTGTTACTGAGCAAGGGCTCTGGTGGCAGAAACAGCACAGCATGGCAGGAGGCAGGAGGAGGAGCCCCCAGACCCAAATGCCAGGTCAGAGACAGTCCTGGGCTTGGCCAGGCAGTGGTGGAACGTGGTCTGACAGGGCTCCACCCACGGTGGGTCCCATCCCAGAGACAGTGCAGCCCCTCTAGGTCCTGCAATCCAGGGGCTGGAGCCTGGGCTTCAACCCAGCAGCATTCAGGCCTGGCCATCCTTGAGGGGCAGCCCCAGAGCTCTTCGGGGGGCTGAGCCCACCTGCTGCGATCAGGCAGGGCAGGGACTCATGGCTGCAGGAAGCCACCAGCCAGGAGATCTCTGCAGCAAGGAGCAAGCAGAAGGCCTACTCCTAGGGAAAGAAGGGGGCAAATGCTCAAGCTTAGGGCACCCTGCCCAGGCCAGACACCCAGGGGAAGCAGAGCCCCGGCCCAGCCTGCACACGACCTGCTATCTGCCCATGCCACACGGCAGGGCTAAGACAGCGAGGCTGATAAGGAACTTGGTGCCCAGAACCCCAGGCCTGTGCCTGGCTCTGCACCGCGCTGCTTCATGGCCCCCCAGGAAAGTGCAGAGGGAGGGCAGCAGCAGCAGCAGCAGCAGCAGGACCAGCAGGTGGGAGGCTCGGTGGAGCCAGCACCAGGTGCCTGGGGAGGGTCACTCCAAAGGCACATGGGGGGTGGAAAGAGGCTTAATGGGATCAGCCCACAGGAGGCCGTACCCAGGCCTGGTGCTGGAGGCGGTGACAGCTGGGCACGGGCACTTCCAGGCAGCGACACCCCAGGAGCGATGCCAGGGCCAGTGGGGGCTCCTGGGTAGCACTAACCAGCACCCAGCCTGGGGCAGGGCCAGAAGTTTTTCCAGGCACCCAGAAGGCTTTCCCCAGTGCAGCTCCTCCGCAGCACGGGGACCCGAACTCCTGGGCTCCCTGCGCAGCTCCAGACCTGGTGGAGCCTGGCCCCTGCCACGGTACCAGCGTGGGTCAGGGCAGGCGAATGCAGGCTGGGAGCATGGCAGGGGCACCCCCCGTGCACTATTCCACCAGGGGAGACCCCACAAGCCAGGCTGGCCGCATGCCCAGACCCCGCAGCCCAGCCCTGACTTCTGCCAGCTCCTTCCAAGAGCTGGGCACCCCTGGATCCCCTCCCCAAACACCAAGCACTGCTCAGGCCCGAGGCAGAGCCAATGCCCTCCATCCGCCAGGTGCCCGGCCCTGCAGACCCCAGACAAGCAAAGGCCAACTGCCCCCAAGGGCAGAGCTCTGCCTACAGGGCCCAACAGCACTGCAGGGAGGCACCAGATGGACAGAAGAGTGGCAGAGGGGGGTGGTAGCAATGCCAGGATGGGACCCCACCCAGGTCGCTACCCCCTACCCCCAGGATCTTCACAGCCTTGGCAGGGCAGCACCCCCAGCTCCAGGGAGAGTGCAGCTGCCCCAGGGAGGCAGCTAAGGGCTGGGCCCCAGCTCATACCACCTTGGGCTTGCACAAGACCAGGTGGGGCTGGGAGCAGTTACCCAACCAGTGGGGCCACTTCCCCTCCTCCCTGGCAGGTGGGAGCTGGCTGGAGGGGTGGGGGAGCAGGAGGGTGCCGGGCCCTCCCTGGGCACCACCGAGGGGGGCTCAGCCAGGGCCTCCCCCTCCTTGCCCCGCACGACTCGCACCCGAGATCCAGCCTGGGCTGCAACCCCGGCTCCTCCGAGAGCCGAGGCCTGGGCAGCTGTCAGCAGGAGCTACCTGTGTACAGGATCCCAGCTGGCTGCCTGCACCCAGCACCGGGGCCAGGCCGGGGGCCCCAGGCAGAAAGGCTCAGCGCTCCAGCTGCTCCCCCACAGAACTGAAGACCCAGGAGCCCCAAGGCCCAGCCGAGGGCAGGGGGGGAGAGGAGAGAGGCTGAAACAAAGAGGGAAGCGGGCGGCAGGGAAGGCCCCGGCTCCAGTTACCGGCATGGGCCCCATCTGGCTTTTGTTCCAGGCGGGAGCTGAAGTCTGTTCTAATTTTAGCCTCCCTGCCGGGCTGGGGCCACTGGGCTCCCTGCCCCGCGCGGGAATCCAAGCGGGACACAACACGGCACGGCCCGGCTGGCCGGCGGAGGCCAAAAATACGTGACCCCCGCGAGAGGTGGCAGCGCGTGACGAAACTCCGAGTCCAACCGACTCCCGGTCTTTCCCCCCCGTTGCTCTCCTCCTGGCCCACCAGGGCCGGTCTCCCTGGGTACCGCCACCCCCTGCCCGGCCCGCGCGTCCTGCGAGGCGAAGACATCCCGTGACCTTGCCAGGTCCCCACCGAGCCGCTCATCCTCTCCGCGCAGCCACCTGCCATCAGGTCCGTGCACCCCCAGGGCCCCCGTGGCCGGCCGAGGGCAGACCCGTTGGGCGGATCCCACAGGCGCTGCGGGCCCCTGACATTCGACCTCTTTGCCCTCTGCGCTGCCGGCACCCACCTTTCCCCTGGATACTGCAGGGGGGCGGGGAGGCTCCACGGCCCCCCCGCTGGCTGCAGGCAGGGGACAAGGACAAGGACAAGGCCCCCGCTACCCCAACCCCCTCCTCAATGCAGCACCTACCCCCAGGGGCACCAGGGCCTGGGGGCAGGTCAGACCCCC